GCAGCTATAAATAGCAGCTGGCTGTGACTGGGAGTGATAGAAAATGAGCACAGAAGGGCAACGAAGATGTCATTAACTCGGAAGTGAGCTTTATCACTGTCACCATAGTATGACCACAGAGTATACTGCACTTTCCTGCTTTATTTTATGGTATTCTGTATAATCCAATAGAGTCCAATTGAAGAAAGTGAACTGGAGTGAAATAGTATGTATGGTGGGAGCAATGGACAACTTTATAAAAGGCACTACATGCTTTGTGCTATGTCAGTGAGTGAGTTATAATAATGAGATTTTTCTGTTAGTCCTCCTGCTATACAGAAGCAATGTGATGTGAACATGTTGCTATTCACAGCGTTTCATTTCACTGAAATGGCACATTAATCTTCAAAAGAACCAATACCTGAGCATCACCATAAAAGATGATAGGAATCATGTCAGTCTGACCAAATAGATAATTATTTCACTCTTGCCCTGAGGGAGCAGATGGAGCTCTACTGGCTTGTTCAAGGAGTCTACGAATGAGCAAAGCTGATGGTTTAAAAGAAATGGAATACATTTGAGAACACAGAGGAACAGAAACATGAAATACAGTATTCCAAATAAAATGGCAAATAACAAATCACCTTCGAAGGTGGTACCACATAGAAAATGAAACTGGTATTGTTTGATTTAATCCTCTTCAAGTCCTAACAAGTCCTTGGCTTACATTTTCTTGAAAATTGATCCTTAGTTTTGTTTACACTGGATGATCCATCTCATTTTCCTTCTCATTTTTCTTTCAGCATCATGGAAAACACTTGCACACACACACACACACACACACCGATGAGGGGTGCAATGTAAACTGCTTAAAAAATTAAGGGAAAATTTAATCATCACAGTATAATACCAACTCAGTTAAACTTCAGAGATATCAATCTGTCACTTTAAGAAGCACAGGTGATTGTGAATCAGCTTCACCTGCTTTGGTGCAAATAAAAGTGGCAACAGGTGCAATGGAAAGGCAAAAGCAAGACAACCCCCTCAAAATGGAATGGTTTTGCATGTGGTGGCCAAAGACATACAGTAGCTCTCTCCTTATTCTTCCTGACTGATTCTTCTCACGTTTTGTGTTTTGCTAGGGTCCTTGACACCACTGGTAGCATGAGGCAGTACCTGCAGCCCAATCAGGTTGCACAAGTAGTCCACAGGTAGACCAAGATGGCACATCCATACATGCAGACACAAGGTTTGCTGGGTCTCCCAGCCCAGTGTCAAGAGCATGGAGGAGAAACCAGGAGACTGGCCATTACACCAGGAAAGCTGGACAGGGCCGTAGAAAGGAAACAACCCAGCAGCAGAACTGGTAACTGCTCCTTTGTGCAAAGAGGAACAGGAGGAGAACTGTGAAAGCCCTACAAAATGACCTACGGCAGATACTGGTGTGCATGTTTCTGACCAAACTGTCAGAAACAAAATCCATGATGGTGATAAAAGGGCCTGATGTCCTCTAGTACGACCTGTGTTCGCAGCCCAGCACCGTGCAGCTCAAATGGCTTTTGCCAGAGAACACTAGAATTGGCAGGGCCGCCACTGGCACCCTGTTCTACTCACAGATGAGAGCAGATTCACATTGAGCACATGTGACAGGCGTGAAAAAGACTGGGGATGCCGTGGTTAACGTTATGCTGCCTGTAACACCATCAAACATGACCGGTTTGGTGGTGGGCCAGTGATGGTCTGTGGAGGCATATCCTTGGAGGGCCGCACGGACCTCCATGTCATAGCCAGCGGTACTTGAATAATTCATTCATCAAGATCCAGTGTGTGATTTAGTGTTTCCTTAATTTTTTTTGAGCAGTAGTATATTCAGCTTGCTTAGAGTCTAATAATGCTCCATCTTGTATCATTCATCTATCCATCGTCACGACTTGATGTTGTGGTCCGCCTGATTGCTGGTGTGTGAGCTACAGCTGAGATAATCAGTGTGCGTGTGAATTATGGAGCCACCATCTTTGATACTGGTGTGAATTATAGTGCAGATGAAACCCCTGAGTGAATTATGAGCTGGATAATCACCCTGATGAGAAAACAGGCCTGCTGGCCTTAATGTGTGTGGGTGTGTGTGTGTGTGTGTGAGTGAGTTAGTGAGTGAGTGAGTGAGTGAGTGAGAGGGACTGAGCAGAAAGTCAAAATGAAAATGCAGGAAGGGTGGAAGGGTGGCTCCTCTATAGAAATGTAACCCCCTTTTATTGCTTGTTCACTTAATCCAGTGCATTTTGAATTGCCCATAATGCAGTATGTGGTGTCTGACAGAAATTAAGTTTATTTGAAATCAATTCCTGTAAACAGGAAGCATTCACTTTGGAAGGACATACACAGCAAACAATAGTAATGGAGAAACCTTTAAGTTAATGTAGGAACAATCAAAATGTGTATCACTTGTGTTAAATTTATTATATGGTTCACATGCTGCTCTGCACCCACATTAAACCTGATGCTACATTTTTGTGACTATGCTGTAAATACTAACAGGGACAATGTATTTACTACTAAAAAAAAAAGGTTTATTACTAAACTGCTGAGTGAAAATACAGTAAGATCTCTCAAGGATGAGCTTGTACAAAGGGGGATGGGAGTCAGATATGTTGCCATGGCGACTCGTGCATCTATACTATGGCTGAGAAGCACTGGCGGTTTTAGAATCCAAGCAGCTGATTGGTGGAGGAAGGGCATTTTAGATAGTGCAGACAGCCTGTCTCTGTGACTAATGACCAGTAGTGCAGCTGTAGGATGTCAGTGGGCTATAGGGTGGCTACCATGGCAACCAGCGACCAACCTTGTTGCTAGAACAAGTGGCCCAGGTATGCACATGGAATCACTCAGTTAGGCTTAGATCTCCACCCAACACACCCCAACACCACCCCCCCCCCCCCCCAGCC